TAGTTATGTATTAAACACTCTTATGGGTAGTCATCGATGCGGTCATGAAATAGTGATTAAAAAACTTTTTAAAAACTTTCTTATCGTTGAAAAAATAACTCAATTTTCAGTCATCAATAAAATCCGTATTAAAACTCATCATAACTTATGAAATACTTATACTTTTCGCGTTTCAAAGTCATACCCTTACCAAACATACCAGTGCTAAATAATTTTTTGGTGCACTGACTGCATCCATGGCTTAGAAAAAACGGCTTTCCTCATTAGATAATGAGTTACCCCTTATGTATATGCAATAAATTATTTATTTATTAGATAACTATTCGAGTCAATAGTAAATCCTTATGAGAGGGCCGGTAGTCAATGTCAGACCTCTAAAAAAGACTTTTCCCCAATACTATACCATAAATGAATATATCTTACATAAAATTATGTTAAAATATTATTTAAAAAATTGATTTAACATTCAATTACATGGGATATTTTAATTTTGCACACATGGCATTGAATACATAAAAAGTCTAAAATCACCTTTTTTATATTGAATATAAATCAATTAAATTAAGTCATAGCGTATATATAAATATAAATATAAATAATTATTATTAAAAAACAGGTATATATTGAAAAATATGGCATAAAATGAATAAACATTCAAATCATGAGTTTTTCTCATAAAAACAACCTTTAATTGAGTGAAAAATATATTCAATATTTGAAAATATAATTATTATTTTCCAATCAATTGTATGATTTATAATTGATAATGTTTTTTAGCCACAGGCTCTGTATGTATCGGTTTGCAATTAAAATCAAATCATATAAAAACAAATATACTATTTGGAGCTAAAATTACAACAAAAAGGGGAATGGTAGCTTTTTGCAATAAAAGTGGAAGTCCTCTAAAAAATGATAAACGATTGATTGAAACAATGTTATTTTGATACTAATACTAGAAACATGTTTTTGTGTGCAACAAATATATTTAATATACAAATACCACAAGTAATAGTAAAATGTCTTAAAAGTCTTTTCAAAGGTATTTAAAAAAAAGTATTTTAAAAAGTTTTTCAAAAGTACTTTTCAAACAAAAAGCACCGAAAGTATTGCCAAAAGTAAAGGTATTTTTTAATACTAGTAATAATAATATTATTATTCATGAAATTCAGACATTTTGGTGGAAAGGGGTCTCTATTGTTATGGGATGTCTGAGCCGTTTCGCTGAATTAATATCCAAAATATTAAACATATTTTTCAAATATACTTAATATTCACACATAAACTCTTGTATTGAGAATAATGTTAGGCTTTCCATACATTTATGGGGAATAATGCATATATGCCTCGAAGTCTGTATAAGGGAAAGGGATCACTGGTAAGTCCTAATCGTGTAGTTTTATGCGTTAAGACAAACACACAAAATATATTTATTTGTTAGCAAATATACTAGCACAAAATTCGTGACAAATTAAATAATAGCCAATTAAAGTATAATCAATATACACGTGAATTAGTCACTAGTACATAAGTTAGCAATATAATAATATGTTATTAACATATTTGCTACACACACAATAAAATATCTATTATAACTTCATAAAAAGTTTTTGTGTGTAAAGTATTATTTAATTATATACATGTATATTTATTTCTATTGTTATTTATTGATTCAATAAAAAAAATACTTTCAATTTTCGTGAATTGAAATTTTCTATCAAATGATAATAAATAATAATAATATAATAATAATAACAATAAGTATTATAATAGTAGTTTAATATACTATTATATTTTATGTTAATCTCTACACCTGTTTGCATCAAACATATGAAACAAAACTATTTCCATAAATAAGTTAATTAAATATATATTAATTCACACTGTTAGGCAAAATATTTTTATACAGTGTGAATTAATACACATTTAATATCAACATTAATTAATTTGTTGTTTTAATTACACTTTTTATAATAATTTAATTAAATTTTAGACAAAAACTATTCCCACAATAAAAAGGGTTCAAAAATATACTCTAATTAGAGATAAAAAGTAACAAAAATATAGTGAATTAGAGTAACACACAAAAACGTAAAACAAAAACTATACTAGTACCTATCTCATAAAATACTTGTAAACTTAATATAATAAACAAAAACCGCATCAAAAATCTCATGTAATAAATATGTCATTCAATTGCCATTGTTTTCCATACAATGATATCAATTAGTAATAGATATATAAAAATGTTTTTTACTTTCAATTAATTTCCTACAAAACGATGCATTCGTATAGTATTCAGTCATTTAGTACTCCTTTTGTGTATACATTACCGCAAAAAACATATGAAATTAATTTCGTGTACAAAAAATATTCAAAAAAAACTTTTTCCAAACTTTATAGACATAACAAAAACTAATTTAATAACAAAATTAGCCGTAAATCTCGACTCACTTTCTTATCGCATATGAAACACATACTGTTAAGCCATATATAAGTTAATTGCCTTTTGCTTATCACCGAAAAAAATCGTGTGAATTATTAAATCATATTTTTAAAACATAAGTTAAAAAAGTACTACAACTAAAAAATAGCATAAATTTATTATTAAGTTAGACTCGACTATCAGTTTACAAAACAACAAAAATACAGTGAATTAACAAATAGGGTATTAAACTGTTAGTGAAAAAAGTAGCTATTTTTTGGGTGCACTGACTGTATAGACATTTTTGGCTTCACTCTACTTATTATTACTTCTCATTTACTCTCTCTCTCTCTCTCTCTCTCTCTCTCTCGTCAGTAAACAAAAGAATAATTTCTAAGCCTTTTGTGTGTAAAAAGTGAGTGTTTTTAGCATTTTTTGTGCGAAAATCACTTACTTTTGCTACTCTTTTCTCTATCACTCACTCAATAAATATTTACACAAAAAAATGATTTACTAATAAAAATTAGGCCAAACTCATTTTTTCAATTAACCATTGCTTTTGCATAATAAGACTTATATGTATTTGTATAACAAAAATATAATAAAATAAAAATATATATATATTATAACATAGCTAGCCTTGATTGATATTTAATAGTAAAATAATGCGAAAATTATATATAAAAATAAAACAATTGAAATACACTTCAAAAAACAATATATATTTTTAAGTGCCTATATTAGGTGCCAAAAAATTTTCAGGCGTTATTAGCATTAATAAAAAATTTATTTTCAACCAAAAATTATGCAAATTATCCGCATACACAATTTTTTAATGACTTTGTAATAATGACAGATTAACTGATTATAATACATTATGGGAAACACACACTACGTTTAGTATTAATTATTTTAGATATGAATATATATTTATATATTTTTTGTTATCTCCCAAAATTAATAGTAAATTAGATATAAAAATAAAAAGGCTTTCCTAAAAGTCTTGAAAACCAAAATTAACATCCATTCCCATTCCAGTCCCCTCGCTATACTACCCATTCAGTAGAAATGGTTATCATATTTCTCGTATATAATTATCATTTTGTTTGAAGGATTTGTTTTGTAATGTTTTGCAGATATATTGACGCGATTTTGCAGCCCTTTTATGAGGCACTCATTAAAAACGCTTATTATTTGCTCAAAAAATTTTATGTGAGATTTTTGTGTGACTTTTTCTAGTGTTATATTTAGTAATTGAAAAAATAATAAATATAAAGTGGAAAGACATGTGATAATTAAAAATATTTACGCGATTAACTCACACACCATATATATAATATACAATGGTTTATAATAACTTAAGTCACATATAATAAAACAAATAAATAGATAGGAATATAAATATATTTTTAATTACAATTTGCCCACTAATTAGTGTGTATATCGTATGTGTTGACATGTATTGCATATGATGTATGATTAGCAACAAAATACTTGTTTAACACATTTGTTAACCAAATGTTAATTTATGTTTAGAAATATATTTAAATATATTTATATATACTGTATATTGACTACAGATATATCAGTCGCTCGTAACTAAATGTCGATTACTTTCAATATATTTATATATTAAGTCAATATTGTAAATGCTTTTTGAGCTAATATTTGCAAAAAAAATATTTTTTTAAAGTATTTCATAATTTTTAAAATGAAATAAAACTTATATAAAGTCAGTCATTGGGTGTGAATCCCAGTGTCTATATGTCACAACAATTTATAGATATGATTATGTTTTAACACATTTCTGCGAAAAATATATTATAGATATTCACTTAAACTTGAAAAAATTAATTTATAAACAGGTATATAGTTTGAAATAATATATTATCTAGCAATTCAGCAAATTGTTTGGTTATCTATAGTCCAGGAAATTAGTTTTCAAATCACACCAACAAATAGTGTATAAAAACTTGAAAAACACGTTCAAAATCACGTCTAATATATTAAAAACAAAACTAAATGTTTGGTAGGAATACCCATCCCATTGAGAAATAGTTTTATATAAATATATCTGATTTTTATTGAAATACTAAACATTAACACAAATCTACTAAAAGTTTTTCGACAAAAAAGTTTTTCAAATAAAAATAAAAAGTTTCTATTAATTGACACAAATATTTGCTAACTTACCGGCACTTGAATAGTCATTTGCATCAAGTTAATATTAATAATCGAATCTATTATAATCACAATATATTATAAACACGCTTATCATGGGATTAATTAATACAAAAACAATTCATAAATCATTTCACACATACATAAATGCATATAAAACACTAAAAAAGTTTTTTGCTAGTTAATAATTACAAAAATATTCTTGCTAAAGAATTATCAATTAATAAAAAGTTCACAAACACTGTCTAAACAAATGAAAATCCCAATCAATACACATTCAAAACACTCATAGAGTTATACTAATGGTATGAACACTACCACCAAAACAGGTCTCAGAAATCTCTATTGCCTTCAAATGAATGGTAAAAAACTTCTTAGACTTCAGACACCAGTTGTTATGTTAGGTATGAGCTCTCAAACACTACTCACACATTCATAACTACCTTGACTTCCAGTCCCCTCTACACCCTTAACCAATGGTGTAGTCTCGCGGCTATAATGACGTTCAAAAAGTTGCTTTTTCTCTCTCAATCATTACGTTATTAGGTTATACTGTACTGTATAGTATAGATATTAAGCTTATATCCCATTGTATTCACACTACAGTATACTGTGTATTGTATGATAATTTAATATGACATCAAATTGTATGACATCAACTAGTATCAAATAGTGTATAAAAAATATATTCTAGCATAAATATGATTGCTATTATCGTATTTAAATAGGTTTATGACATTTGAATGAAAACCAATAGTCTTAATGAACGTCAAGAATAATATATTTTTATACTAATTATTCACTTTAATTATGAAAAGTACTTATTTTGTTATAAATATTTGTTTGAAATATTATTTTGTTTTCAATAAATTATTTTTATAAACAGTAAATATTTTGATAATTTATAAAAGTTGCCTAATTTTACTATAGATTTTTATTTCATTATGATCATAAGTATTTTATTAATTATTAATAATCATTATCATTATCTAAAGCTACACTTCCCCCAAGTGTTTGCAATGTAGGTCAGACCTACAAATAAAATACATACACACAATGAAATGAAAGTGAAGTTTACATAATTATATTATTCAAAACCTAAAACAATATTTAAATCAATAATTATATATATGAATAGGGAATGGCATCTATAATATATATTAGCCGGTACTTTATTATACACCATAAATAAGTTTAAAATTTATATTCAAATTCAAAAAATAAAATATCAAAAATACGTTTTTATATTACAATATAATTTATAATGAATAATTAAATGCTAATTAAAATTTAAGCAAACAATAACTTCCTATACTATAAAAAAAATCAATACTTTCGTGAATCTCACAAAAAAATATTTTTATTTTATTATTTAATGACTAAAATTTTTACAACTTTAAATATAAATAAAAATCATCATTATAAATATATTAAACGTGAACTATAATTAAGCGCTTAATTTTACTACTACTGTATTAATTGCTATAATATTTATTTAAGCTTAAAATAGTTATCAAATTAAGAAAAATAATTTTTATTTAATTTTTTACTAAAAACAATATTTCGCACAAAAATATAAATTCATTAAAAACTTGTATTTGGATTACAATTGAAGTTATTTTGCTGTTAAGGTGAGGGTCTCATAGATTTCAACACAAATATCTATAACTTAACAGTCAGTCATCGTTACGATCATTAAAATCGTTACTAAAACTAGTGATTAAAATAGACTTTAAAACAGGATTTTTGTGTCGAAATCTAAATTCGCATCAAAAACAAAGACAATATTTTTCTGACGATATTTCTAAACACATATTAAAAACTTAATTGTCATTCAATTGGGGATTTTCATCACGCGTTTCCCATAACTCATAGCCAAGAAAATGGGAGAAAAACCATTTAATTATTAATTTAATTATTAATTAAATAGATTTTTATGTCATTCGTTATAATAATTATTAACTAAAAAATTCAAAAGTTTTTCTTATTTAATATTTAATTTAATTTAAGGCAAGGATTTTAATCAGTATTTTAATAAGTATTTGTTTTTGAAATTATTTATTTGCCAAATGAATGCTAAATACTTGAAAATGGTTTGAATTTTAAAATGTTTTCAAAAATCTAAATCACTTTTGAATATCCAATAAAATAATTGATTATTAATTTAATCACTAACAAATCAAACATAAAAAATAATTTAATAAAAATGCACAAGTACTTAAAAATAAATAAAACTAATAACATTTGCAAACAAACAATTTTAAAAGTGTATTTATTTTTTAAAAAGTGTTTTGATTATAATTTATAAATCATTAAGCTAGCAAAAAAATATGACAGGAAATTTGGCATTTAAATCTCAGATATAAATCTTTGTTATAATTATAATTCAAAACAATTTATATATACAAAAAACAATTCAACACAAAGTGTTTATAAACTATTTGATAAACAACAAAAAGTACACAGTTTAGATTATTTCTACAGATTAGGCAAAACACACAGTGATTGTTGAACTGAAATATGAGATAATTGCTGACAATTATTGCCAAAAAACATTTTTTAATGAAATCTTAAGAGCCGACAGTTTTTCATATAATTACTATATTTGCGAATAATAGGCAAAAAAGCATTGCTTTTGAAGTGTACTTAACGTCTCAAACGTAAACTCAATAGTGATTTCGTATACAGACTTATGGCCTGATTATAAGTGGCGTTAAATCGTATTTGGAAAGCCTTTTCGTAAGGGGAAAGGCATCCTAGAAAACACACCATTGTAACACACATATGAAGCAAATAATTGCTGGCTAATTACCATGTATTGATACACACTTTCCCTTTGGTTTACTCCGACACTAACTTTCATTTACTACTCCTTAAGACTTAAAAAAAGTTTTTTAAAACTTTTTAAATTAATGACTCGAAAAAACATCAAAAACTAAAACTAAAATAAAAACAAATCTAACCATTGAATTAGAAATTGCACTCAAAAACACAGCAAACTATTTATAATATAAATTTTATATATTGAGACGCGGGTTGTTGTAAATAATTAATTTATTTTATTTAAAAAACAATTATAATTAATACGAAAGTATAAAACAAGTATACAAGTACAAATGTGGTCTAATATTATTTAATTAAAAGATTTTGTTATTCATTTTAATGTTAATATATAACAAAAACAGATCAATAATCAACTAATAGGACAAACATAACCAGAAAAATGTTAATAAACTAATTATTAGCCGGCTGAACACTACCTAAAAATGTTTTCTATACTAAACCTCATACTAAAAGTTTTAACAACCAATTCCCTCATAATATAAGGTAGGACTGACCCACCCGTCCGGCCAAACATAATAATACTGGTGGCGGACGACCGGGGATGTGGTGATGTGAGCTACCACTCGGATCAGATACTGACCCCTAATATCGACACCCTGTCCGATAACAGTATACTACTGAACAACTACTACACGTCACCGGTATGTTCACCGAGTCGGGGGCACTCCTAACCAGTGTCCACCCGATTCACAGTGGACTACAACACTATATCATACGGGATGACAGTCCGTGGGGAATGCCACTGGATATCAAAACTTTGCCTCAATATCTCAAAAGTTATGAATAGATTACATATGCCATCGGTTTGTCATATAATTATCGCTAATTTTTGTTAATTAATTAGTGATTGAATGAGTGATCAGTATCAATTTGTCATAAGCTTGTTGTTTAAATTAATTTGATGTTAAAAAGTTTGAGTCCATTATAAGGTTATTGAGTTTGGGTCTCAAAGTAACATTAGTTTCAAAAACTTTTTTGAAGTCTTAAAGTGTTTCTCATCCGTCACTCAAACGGCTGTTTAACGACAAAATCATGCAAAAAGTTTTAGTTTAAAATTATTGTGCAATTGATCCCATGTAATGCTTAAGAGTAATTGCTGTCAATCATAGCTAATTATAGCCCGTTATACACAAAATACAAGTAAAACTATGTAAACTAACCACTCGTTCGCATCCATACATCCATTAAACAAATTACTGTTAATTCGCACAAAAAACTAAACAAAATCTAAAAACTTTTATAAAACTTTAACACATATTGACGTCTGGGGTATACATCTCACGCTCAGGTAAATGGCATTTGGGTTTCTATCGGCACGAGTTTGCCCCGACCTACCGGGGCTTTGGGCTACTGGTCCGGATCGGGCGACCACTACGAGCACACGGCCCTCGAGGACAAGCGCTTCTGGGGACTGGACTTCCGGAATAACATGGATCTCATCACAAACCCCACCGGAATCTACTCGACCCACTATTTCACCGACAGGTGCCTACAAGTCATATCAAATCAAAACACATATCAACCCCTATTTTTATACAAGGTCTACCGTTCACGCGAGCCTCTCGTATGACAGGCTACAGGCGCCCCAGAAGTATATCGATATATTCACTCATATTAAGTCTATTCACCGCCACGGCCTACGCTATGGACAGGTCAATAGGACAGATAGTCCGGGCCCTAAATGACCGGCAAATACTAACAAACAGTATTGTGGTGTTTGTGAGCGATAACGGGGGAGCGGTAAATGGCTTCAGAGGTATACCTGACCTCTAAATTAGTATATAATATGTGTTTTTATTTATTATAAAACTTTATTTTATATAAAACTAATCAAAAGTCATTACGAAATGTAAATCATATGAAATAACAAAACTTTTTTTTGTATATAATTTAGGAAACGCTGCCTCGAATTGGCCCCTAAGGGGTGTTAAGGCGACCCTCTGGGAGGGCGGTATGTATTTGTGGGCAACTAATTAGTTGCCACTGTTTTTATTGAATTTGTTTTTGAGGGGGGAAATGGATCTCAGAGTTTAGACACTGGGAAACCACACGTTGCGAGACTTATCTCTCACAATGAGATTAGTGTTTAATTAATAAAAATCATTTGATTTGCATTTAAAGGCATCAGAGTTCCGGCATTTATATGGAGTCCTCTACTCAACAAAACGGGTTACGTATACCAGGCGCTCATACATGTGTCGGATGTCATGCCCATTATATTAGAGACTATCGGTGATCATGTTCTTGAAATCGCAATCAAAACAAAAACACCGATCTATGGTAAGCATAGCTATTAAATAGACTTTTGTCTCAGATATATGAGAAGCTCTGACAACAAAAAATAAATAATTAATTTCTAAAACACTGTATAAATAGTTTGATAAGAGTTTGGATAATGGGTTGCGAAACGAGTTATTGATTGCATATTAATAGCACTTAAATATATTTATGTATTCAAAGGCCAGTCGCAGTGGAAAACACTTTCGTACGATAGGCCGTCCCCTCGTTCAGAGCTCGTCCATAATGTGGACCCCATTGCTGGCGATCAACCAAAACAGGTATCGCACCGGGATTTAAAGCAATGGATCCAACATGTGATCCCGTGTTACATGACTACGCTTGAAGTTGTTGGAGGGATAGGGACTACTCATCATTATGAGAGGGGAACTGGATTTTCTGAGGGACAGTATGTCAGCGAGTATTTCAGTGGCAACACTTGCTATTTATATATGAATTGATATACACTTCGTTTTCATTCACTACTTTCGTAAGACTTTAAAAAGTTTGTAATTAATAACTCCAAACAAATCAAAAACTAAACCTAATATAAAACAAACACTTAACCATTGAATTGGGAAATACAGCCAAAAACAAATCAAATTATTTATATCACAAAAACACATATCAATAATCAGCTGATAGGGACAGACATCACCAGAAAAATGTCAATAAACTAATCAATAGAATGCTAAACACTACCTAAAAATGTTTTCCGTACTAAACCTCATAATAAAACTTTTGACAATCAATTCCCTCGTAATATACGGTAGGACTGAACCACCCGTCCGGCCAAACATCATAATACTGGTGGCCGACGACCTGGGATGGGGTGATGTGGGCTACCACTCGGATCAGATGCTGACCCCAAACATCGACACCCTGGCAGCCAATGGTATACTACTGAACAACTACTACACGTCACCGGTATGTTCACCGAGTCGGGGGGCACTCCTAACCAGTGTCCACCCGATTCACAGTGGACTACAAAACTATGTGATTTTAACGGCCAGTCCGTGGGGAATGCCGTTGGATATCAAAACATTGCCGCAATATCTCAAAAGTTACGATTATAGCACACATGCCATAGGTTTGTCATATAATTATAGCTATTTTTGTTAATTAATTAGTGATTTTATTGAGCAAATATGGTGTTAGCCATGTTAATTAGTGGTTGATTGCGTGATCAGTATCAATTTGTTATACATTTGATGTTTGTATTAATTTTGAGTCCATTATAAGGTTATTGAGTTTATGTCTTAAAGTCTCAAAAACTTTTTTGAAGTCTCAAAGTGTTTCTCATCCGTCACTCAAACGGCTGTTTAACGACAAAATCATGCAAAAAGTTTTTGTTTAAAATTATTGTGCAATTAATCCCATGTAATGCCTAATAGTAATTGCCGTCAATCACAACTAATTATAGCCCGTTATACACAAAATACATGTAAAACTATGTAAACTAACCACTCGTTCGCATCCAGACATCCATTAAACAAATTACTGTTAATTCATACAAAAAACTAAACAAAAAAAACTTTTCTAAAACTTTAACACATATTGACGTCTGGGGTATACATCTCACGCTCAGGTAAATGGCATTTGGGTTTCTATCGGCACGAGTTTACCCCGACCTACCGGGGCTTCGACTCGCACGTGGGCTACTGGTCCGGATCGGGCGACTACTACGATCATACAGCCCTCGAGGACAGACACTTTTGGGGACTGGACTTCCGGCATAACATGGATCTCATCACAAATGCCACGGGAATCTACTCGACCAACTATTTCACCGACAGATGCCTACAAGTCATATCAGATCACAACACATCTCAACCCCTGTTCCTATACGTGGCCTACCAGGCCGTTCACGGGGCTAACAATTACGCCAGACTACAGGCGCCCCAGAAGTACATCGATATGTTCACTCATATTAAGTCTATGGACCGCCGGATATTCGCCGCTATGGCTTACGCTATGGATGAGTCCATAGGACAGGTAGTCCGGGCCTTAAATGACCGGCAAATGTTGGCAAACAGTATTGTAGTGTTTGTGAGCGATAACGGGGGGCCGGCCAGTGGTTTCACAGGTATGCCTGACCTCTAAATTAGTATATAATGTGTTTTATTTATTATAGAAGTTTTGTTATATAACTAATCAAAAGTTATTACGAAATGTAAATCATATAAAAATAATAAAAACTTTTTTTTGTATATAATTTAGGAAACGCTGCCTCGAATTGGCCCCTAAGGGGTGTTAAGGCGACCCTCTGGGAGGGCGGTATGTATTTGTGGGCAACTAATTAGTTGCCACTGTTTATTGAATTTATTTTTGAGGGGGAAATGGATCCCCGAGTTTAGACACAGGGATACCACACGTTGCGAGAGACTTATCTCTCAATGCGATTAGCGTTTAATTAATTAATACTAAAAAAGCATTTGATTTGCATTTAAAGGCATCAGAGTTCCGGCATTTATATGGAGTCCACTACTCAACAAAACGGGTTACGTATCCCAGGCCCTAATACATGTGTCGGATGTCATGCCCACTATATTAGAGGCTATCGGCGCTCATGATCTCGAAAATCGCAGTCAAAACAAAACTACAAAAACTCCGATCTATGGTAAGCATAGCTAGAGTTTTGTCTCAAATATATGGGAATCTCTGACAACAAACAAAAAATATAATTAATTCCTAAAAGACTTTATAAATAGTTTGATAAGAGTTTGGATAACGGGTTGCGAAACGAGTTATTGATTGCATACTAATAGCAAAATACTGTATATTTATGTATTCAAAGGCCAGTCGCAGTGGAAAACACTTTCGTACGACAGGCCGTCCCCTCGTTCAGAGCTCGTCCATAATGTGGACCCCATTTGGAACGTGTCGGCCATCAGGTCAGGGGACTGGAAGCTCATCCAAGGCCTGGTGTTCCCCGACTGGTCTGAATGGTACCCACCCTTTGGTGGTGTCCCAGACCTTGATAATGATGGCACATATCATAGTAACTTCCAATCGCTCCGGAATTTGCATCGATTTAGTTGCCTATCATATCAAGTGCTCAAAGATATGGACAGACATCCAGATTATGATATATTAAGGGATGGTATCCTTGATTGCGGGGTAAAGCCGGTGAACGCGTCCACCAATTGTCGGCCAGACATTGATTTATGTCTGTATGACGTGAAGGCTGATCCCTGCGAGTACCACAACGTAGCGGATAAGTATCCAGAAGTGGTTAAGGAGTTATGGCATAAATTACTGGCGATCAACCAAACAGCTGTCACACCGGGAACTAAACCAAGTGATTCAACATGTGATCCCGTATTGCATGACTACGCCTGGAGTTGTTGGAGGGATGACTAGACTACTCATCATTATAAGGGGAACTGGATTTTCTGAGGGACAGTATGTCAGCGAGTATTTCAGTGGCAAACTTGCTATTTATAGTGCGGTATAGAAATAATCAAACAATAAAATTGATGTTAAATTGAAATTATATTTCTTAGTCCCGTATTAACAATAAAATAATTCAAAAAACTAATTATAAGTTTGTATTAATAGTTAAGGAGAGGCTCTCTCTCTCTCTCTCTCTCTCTAATGATTAAACAGATAATTAAATCGATTCAAAATGTGTGTTGAATGTGGAAAACAAGTCATTGAATTGAATTACGAGTGGAAATACTGGCGAAAAGCCTTGAGATTACTTACAGCCTAACGACTCGAAGCGGAAAAATAATGCAATCTTTTTATTAATAGCTTCGCAAACAAAACATAAATACTGTATTCAAATGCCTTTTCGCAGGTATTTCAAGGATTTTTTTATGTTCAAAAAATTAGTTTTTTCTGTATATGTATTCGTATTATTGTAATAATAAATCAAATGTTTGAGTTTTTATTAATTTTATTTTTTAGTGGTATTGTGTGGAAAATAGATAAATTAAATGTATTAAGTTTTTGCACAAATATTTAATTTCAATCGACAGCTCTCTCTCTCTCTCTCTCTCTCTCTCTCTCTTCAAAAATTTTATATTGATCTAGCTCAACTGTAACATATAGTAATATTAAGACATCGAGTGCAAAGGGTTCTGTCAAACAGTTTATATATACGGTATATATTGTATGTTTATTCAGTACGTACACCCACTATGTGTTAATTTATTGGATTTGAAATGTTTGAAAACTTTTTTTGTTTGAAAAATTTTTTGATCGAAAAATTAATTACGAATATATACCCGAATTTTAGGCCTTATTTTGTCCGACACTCACGTCGTTTATATCGGATACCGGCGCTGGGGGCTCACTAAACACCGGCTACGTGGCCGACGACCCGCCCTCTAAGTACGAGCCCCGCCCCCCTACTCGACGGCCACCGCCCGTCAGTTGGTCCACCAGATTAGGAATTGACTCACACCCAGCGGTTCCATACGTATGAACTTCTTGAGCCGTACCAACCCGTTGACCATCAACTCGGATACCTTCCTTCTAATCATCAAAACTCAGCCAACGATTCAAAAGGTGTCGAAATAAAACACGAGACGACATAACCTACCGATTGTCGGTGTCATATACCTGTCCGATCACCTCCCGTTCCCCTCGAGAGTGCTATTTATAAGACATTAGAAAAAACTTTTCAAAACTTGTTGTGTGTTTTTTGATAACAATTTTCATGATTTGATGTGAAGTTTATGTTGCGATTCATATACCATTGAACATAATGAGTGATAATTAATAAAAATCTCCATGCTAATATTTTTGTTTGTTTTTCTGACAATGATCTAGCAACTAAGTGTCGACTAAATTTTATTTATTTGATTTGATTTATAACTAGATTTTGTAGACTTGTATTGATTGTTGTAAATGTTATTAATATAATTTATTTAAATATGTATATGATTTGTAAATGTATAAATTAGTTGTATATTATATTACCAGTATAAATTATAATTTTAATGTATTTTTAGTTTAATTTAGTGCCAAATCTATGAATGATTTTTGCAATTAATGTTTAAATTTTAATAAATTGATGCTGATGATTTATTTCCTTAATTTATAAGTATTATCATTCAATTGATAATATAATATTTAATTATTTTAATGCCAATTCTGTGGCAAATATTTAATATACATTTATTTAGCTAGACCAATTTAGCTATCTATTGCATAAATTGATTTACAATGAAGTTTAAAATTACCCAAATTATTAACTATTTAGATTATTTGATATTTTCAATTAATAAATTGTACTAGGACTTTTTATAAATATAATAGTAAATGTTCAACCTTAATTAATTTTTAATGAAATATTATTAATTATATTACTCAATAAACATAAAACAATTTTCATTAAAATGTTAATATTTTGTGTGTATTTAATGAAATATTGCACTAATTATAATAATAATTGTCAATAATGTAATAATATTTTATTTGTATACAGGGCTGTTTGGGTTCATATAACTAGTTAACATAATGTCAGTATATATTATAATTGCATTTTATCGATATTTATTAAATGTCGCACCGCCTTTAATTATTTATACAGAGATACCAGGATTATAAGGTATTAAGTGTTATCAGAGTATAACTACTGTGTTGTATGTATTGAAAACTGTACAAAAGCATTTATACGGACAAATATTAATAAAATATTTAAATTTTAAAAATGAAAATATCATTGAAAACCATGTATACTATGGTGTCGTATATTATATGTTTCACGGGATGTATGTATCAAATGTATAAAATAAGTGAACTATACTTCGCATACGAGACAACTACTAATTTCCGGTTCCTATCACCACGCGATTCATCAACACATACTGTATTTACAATATGTTTGCCAAAACTTGACCAAATAGTACCTGATAAATTAAAAATCTTAAGAAACAACATTGCCAAATCAAGTAATTTTGATATATTAAATTAATATATAGTAAATTTCAATACAATTCAGGTCTCAAAATTGAAACCATTGTGAAAGTGCTGCCATTTATATCAAAAATTTGCACTAATATTGAGAACTGAATTGTGTTGAAATGACTTTAATTTAAAGTTAGATTTGTGACTCACATAATTTATTTTCAATTTATATTCAGATAAAGCATCAAGTTTATTTCATGAATTCAACAAATTTCCGATTGGCGCTCAATTTGATTCATTTATACCACCAGAGAAATTCTTTAAAACTTACCTTGTTGGTGATAGAGGTAGTGAACTTAGGTTAACAAACAAATTTTATCAAGATTCTGTCAGTAATTCCCACCGGTGTATAACGATAAATCCACATGGCCATAATTTTAGCGATGAAAATTTGTATTTTCTACAAATATTAATTCCCATTGGCGGTACTATAAATAAAAATATGCATGCTGATGCATCCCAAAAAATACTCGTTTATACTCATTCAAAATATCGTCGCCATAGCAGCATGCAAGCGAACTTGTTAAATTGTAAATCAATCGAAGCTAGAAAGCATGACCAATTTTATATTGGATATAAGCAATCCATTACAAAATACAACCTTGGACAAACACAGAATGCTAAGCATTGCATTGATGATGGCATGGATGTGTTTGAATGCCTAGAACGATGTAGAGAGACACTACAAGCCGCCATAAATAATTTGACCTATTTGAGCCATATGTTATTTGATAAAGATAATAAAAGATTTTCGAAATTCGATCAAGATAACCTCCGTTTTGCCCAAGATGAAAATGTCGAACATTTCAGCGAATGTAACCCGAAATGTATAAACCGGATCGACTGTATTCAATATAATCACCCGATGTATCAGACATATGTTCAATTCGATTTATGCGATTGCTATGGAATTCATATTAAATTTCCATTCGAGTCTACAGTCGAGTACGAAATAACACTCAAAATGTCTTTCGAGGAGTACTTGAGTCTAGCGGCGAGTGTTATAAGTCTATGGTTTGGGTTCTCTATCATTATGTTCACCAAAAGTTTGAGAGAAATACTCATAAAATTTGAATTTAAGAAATATGCTCAACAATTGGTGAACTCAGTTATCATTAACAATTACAATGTCAATTGTAATTTCGCATTAAAAATGCGAGATTATATTCGCAATAGGAATCGTATTATTCCAATAAAAACAGCTTGGCAAATTACACATTTGCACAGTTAACTCCCAACAATGAATGTATTATCAGTACCATATTGTTGTACAATAAAATTAAATGAAATATTCACTAAAACCTATTAAATTAAGTGGCGTTTGTATTATATAAACCAATATTTGTATTTTTAATTTAATATGATATAAGCGTATAATAATGCAATGCGTGTATTACTGAATTAAAACCTAATATATATATCTAAATATATATATAATTTTTGTTAAATATTAATTTTCGTTTCATTTATGCATCGTTTGGACCATTATTTGCATTACACTTATCAAAGGCTTTCACTCGACGGGCAAAGTGTTGTTCGTGTCGGCGGTCATACCTATCGTACTCTACAGTCTCGTTGTCCTCCGGTTTGTC